GTACCTCCCTCCCTCTCTCGTTTACTCGCTCGTCACTCTCCCCCTCTGTCACTCTGGCAGAGAGCGAGAGTGAATCGCTGCTTCGCTGGTACTCGTAAGGAAAGCTCCCCACTGGTTTCTCTCAGCGTGCTAGAGGAACGATAGCTCTTCTTTTTCTCCTCCTCCCTCCCTCTGCTGCTTCTCTGCCTTCATCTTGTTTCCCTCACAGTTTGACTTCACACTCTCTCTGTCTCCACCTTCTCCACCTGCCCACTCCCTTTCTCTCACTCTTACTCTCTCGCTCTTTGCCTGCAGTCACCCGGCTCGTGCGTGTGTCCAGAGGATTAGAGAGAGGAATCATCGCTCTACTCCTCCCTCCCTCCATCGCTCTGTTTATCCTCTCCTCTCCCTCTCTCTAATCTCTCACTGTTCCACTCCAAATACAACACAACTGACACACAAACCATTTTCCTTTATCACTCTCATCCAGCCTTGCTTTTCCTCCATCCCTCCATTTTGCCCACCTACTGGCGTGCCTGCTGTACCTCTCTTTTCTCCTTTTCTACCTCTCCTCTCCTCTCACCTTCTGTGTGTACACAGAGCGTTCACATTGACAACTGTGTTTATTGGCACTGGCATTGTGTTGGGGGATGCAAATGTAGAAGACTGTCATGGTCACCTTTGCTGTTATGGTCACCCTCAAATCCACAAACACTTGCTAAGTCTCTGGTGGAAATGCAAACATACAGATGACCCCCCCTCTCTCTCTTTCTACCCACAGCCAAGGGAAGGAGAGAGCAGAGCAAGACTGAAGGTGTGTGTGTGTGTGTGTGTGTGTGTGTGTGTGTGTGTGTGTGTGTGTGTGTGTGTGTGTGTGTGTGTGTGTGTGTGTGTGTGTGTGTGTGTGTGTGTGTGTGTGTGTGTGTGTGTGTGTGTGTGTGTGGTGGGATTAAAGGGAGATGAGATTTACCAGAGTTTTTACATTTGAAACAACTTGCAACTTCTAAATTTCACGTTTGGAGAAACATGGAAAAAGTATAATTCTGCAGTGACTGTGAGAGCTTGTTGGACTTAGAAAATGATTTACTCAGGTGATGCACTCCCTCTCTCTTCATGCCAACCCTTTCTAAGCAGAAATTACAACCCTTTCTAAGCAGGAATTACATCACACAACGAAGGCGCCAATAGGAGTGGAATGCGGTGGCCTTTACAATGTGTATATTCTAGTGTGTCTGTGTGTCATCAGCTGGACACCAGCACAGACGCCAGGCTGGGAGTGCAGTCACAAGGATCCTGACCCTTATCCTCTCTGGTGAATACAGACGTAGGACTGAGTTGTAAGCTACTGTATGTACACAGTTCATATCACTGTGTTACCCATCCTCTCACATTCTAGAAAGCATCCACTGTGAGGTTCAGGTGAAGATTATCAATATCTCCCAAGAGAAGGGTCATTGACATACTCACATCCTGAGCGAGTGAACTATGGTCAGTACCAGTGCAGTCGGTAGGGGATGAGGTATTCACCATTCACCTTCACTATTCATGTGTCTTTGAGATAGGAGAAAGGAAAGCTTGAAGATAGGACTATAGGTAAGAGGACTGGTGGTTGCTGGCTCAGCACATCGTGAGACACACTATAATGAAGTAATGCAGGTGAGCAGTGAGAGCGTTCATAATGTGTACCGCTCAGCTCCACTCACGGCTCACCATAGTCATCTACTTCATGCTAAGGCAATCTGGCTCCATCAACGGCTCGCACGTGAAGTGAGGGAGAATAGAAAAAACATGAAAACCATCGCTCTCAAACACACCTTAAATCTGTACATTCAAAATGACTGGTCATGGTGAACCAAAATGAACACCAAGATGGCTGGTAGCTTTGATAGAATAGGTTAGACGAGAACATTATTGTCCATTGCATTATGAAATAGAAATGTGCCTTTTTACTGACATTGCTGTCAACGGCCATAACATAGGTAAGGTTTACTATGGGCTCAGTCTCAGAGGCACCAGTGTGTTGAGGGTAACTACACTGTGGGTAGGGGCAGGGTGGTGTGGGCACCTGATGGTGCCTGGCTGGCAGGCGTGGGGATTAGCGGTGTGGGATCAGAGGCGGGCAGTGGGCCACTCTTTAGGTAAAAGATTACATTCGCACCGCGATTAAGGGATAAGCAGCTTTGTCCACGCTCCAGGCATCCATGGGACAGGGGGATAGACGTCCATACTGCCAGGACAGGGGTAATTAAGGTTTAAGCCAATAGGGTGTAATCAATTACCCCCCACCACCAATGAGATGTCATGTAGTGTAAGTTATGTGGACTCACTCTGTGTGAAATAACAGGGGTTGACATGATTTTTGAATGACTACCCCTTCCTCTGTCCCCCATACATACAACATCTGTAAGGTCCCTCAGTCAAGCATTGAATCATTTCTAGCACAGCTTTTCGGCAGTCTCATAAAGACGGGCAGTGATTGGTAGATGGGTAACAATAACAAATCAAATCAAATGTTATTTGTCACATGCGCCGAATACAACAGGTGTAGGTAGACCTTACAGTGAAATGCTTACTTACAAGCCCTTAACCAACAATGCAGTTTTAAGAAAGAATACCAAAACAAATCACACAAAACATACAATAATAAATAATTAAAGAGCAGCAGTAAAATAACAATAGCGAGGCTATATACATGGGGTACCGGTACAGAGTTAATGTGCGGGGCACTGGTTAGTCGAGGTAATTGAGGTAATATGTACATGTATGTAGAGTTATTAAAGTGACTATGCATAGATAATAAACAGAGAGTAGCAGCAGCGTAAAAGAGGGTGGGGCACTGCAAATAGTCTGGGTAGCCATTTGATTAGATGTTCAGGAGTCTTATGGCTTGGGGGTATAAGCTGTTTAGAAGCCTCTTGGACCTAGACTTGGCGCTCCGGTACTGCTTGCCGTGCGGTAGCAGAGAGAACAGTCTATGACTAGGGTGGCTGGAGTCTTTGACAACTTCTAGGGCCTTCCTCTGACACCGCCTGGTATAGAGGTCCTGATGGCAGGAAGCTTGGCCCCAGTGATGTACTGGGCCGTACGCATTACCCTCTGTAGTGCCTTGCGGTCGGAGGCCAAGCAGTTGCCATACCAGGCAATGATGCAACCAGTCAGGATGCTCTCGATGGTGCAGCTGTAGAACCTTTTGAGGATCTGAGGACCCATGCCAAATCTTTTCAGTCTCCTTAGGGGGAATAGGTTTTGTCGTGCCCTCTTCACGACTGTCTTGGTGTGCTTGGACCATGTTAGTTTGTTGGTGATGTGGACACCAAGGAACTTGAAGCTCTCAACCTGCTCCACTACAGCCCCGTCGATGAGAATGGGGGTGTGCTCGGTCCTCTTCTTTTTCCTGTAGTCCACAATCATCTCCTTTGTCTTGATCACGTTGAGGGAGAGGTTGTTGTCCTGGCACCACACGGCCAGGTCTCTGACCGCCTCCCTATAGGCTGTCTTGTCGTTGTCAGTGATCAGGCTTACCACTGTTGTGTCATCGGCAAACTTAATGATGGTCTTGGAGTCGTGTCTGGCCATGCAGTCATGAGTGAACAGGGAGTACATGAGGGGACTGAGCACGCACCCCCGAAAGGCCCCCGTGTTGAGGATCAGCATGGCATATGTGTTGTTACCTACCCTTACCACCTGGGGGCGGCCGTCAGGAAGTCCATTGAATATCTCTTTAAGCATGGTCAAGTTCATAATTATGCTGTGGAGGATGTATTAAACCACCCAGACACATCAAAGATGCAGTCGTCCTTCTGAACTGAGCTGCAGGACAGGAAGGAAACTGCTTAGGCCATTGGTGATTTTAAAAGAGCTACAGAATTCAATGGCTGTGATGGGAGAAAACTGAGGAAGGATCAACATTGCAGTGACTCCACAATAATGACCAAAATGACAGAGTGAAAAGAATACAAATACAGTAATCCCTCGTTTATCGCGGGGGTTACGTTCCGAAAATGACCCGCTATAAGTGAAATCCGCGAAATAGAAAACTTTTTTTTTTTACAATTAGCAACTATTACATGTATACAAATACAGTGACTCACGTGTAGGCCGTTTCACTGCTCTTCAGACTGGGCCGCTGCATCCTGACTGCGCTCTGCAGTGTTCTCTTCTTCTGAAGCCCGCGGTGCAGGTGTGTTTGTTCGGGAGAAGAACATAGTGATAGGCAGCTGTTGTCGCTCTTTTTTCTTCTTTGCAAAAAGATCCTTGTACACCGACATGCCACCATCGATTACGTTGGAGAACTGTAATGAACGGCTCATCAAAGGGTCCCATTCCTCAGCTACTCGCTTAAGTTCAGTGGCCATTCGCACCATGGTTGCTAAGCGACCAAGCGTTAGTCCTTCCTCCTCATCTCTCGTGTCCTCTTCTCCCTCTTCTCTTTCATCGTCGCTTTGTGGATACAGAATTTAAAAAACACAGCAAAGAAATACACTTTTTGGCCTCATGTTTGGGGCAAATCCAACACCGCTGCCTCCATATTTTCAAGCATGGTGGTGGCTGCATCATGGTATGGGTATGCTTGACATTGGCAAAGAATTGAGTTTTTCAGGATGAAAAGAAACAGGATGGAGCTAACCACAGGCATAATCATAGAGGAAAACCTGCTTTACACCAGACACTGGGAGATGAATTCACCTTTCAGCACGACAACAACCTACAACACAACTCTACACGGGAGTCGCTTACCAAGACAGTGAATGTTTGAGTGGCCAGGTTACAGTTTACTTAAATCTGCTTGAAAATCTATGGCAAGACGTGAAAATGTATCTAGAATTTTTTTAAGAATAATGGCCAAATATTGCACAATACAGGTGTGCAAATCTCTAAAGAGACTTACCCTTGAAGACTCAGCTGTAATCGCTGCCAAATGTGTTTCTAACATGTATTGACTGAGCGGTGTGAATACTTATCTAATCAAGGTATAGTTTTATTTTTCATTAATCTTTTTTTTTGTTTATCTTAGAATTTCATCCACTTTGAGCGAATTGTGTAACGTTGACAGAAATGTACAATAAAATCAATTTTCATCTCACTATGTAACACAATAAAATGCAAAAAAAAAATCCAGGGGCGGTCTACTTTCTATATAATACGTTTGACCCACTAGTTTCCCCAAAGGTGACCGCTAAGATATTTTCATATACCATGAGCATCATGGATACAATGTATGGAAAATTAAGACATGTAATCTAGACCCTTTAAACATTGTTGACAAAAATATTTCACTACTTAAACAAAGTATTGTTTTTTTAAGAAGTTGAATAGACTTCTGGTGGCAAATTCATCTGTAAAATTACACCTTGGAGATTTATGCTTGTGGTCTTGAGACCATTTTGAGGAATCATATGAAACCATACTAGACACCTTAATAATGCATTACTTACTTGTTGATTAGTACAGCTAACATCTCTAGAGCCTGTAAAGTACAAATTTTCTTCCCACTATTGTGACTGATGGTATTAAATAGGCAAAAAATTATGTTTATTGTTACCACAAATGCAATGACGAATTTAAATATAGCATAGTCGGAGTAAAAATAAAAACAATTTCAATAATTAACTTGTTTTAATGAAATCAAGTCAGATTACAGCAAATAAAGTGATTTGGTACACAATAACAGATGTAACTGACAGAATGCACACAAGTCCAACTCGACACGCGGTTTCAAACAGTCTGTCATTAATTACTTTGCGTATTCACTCAGGCATCCACCCCTCTAATGAGGTCATTAATCTTGATGGTTTGGCAAGATCGAAAGACAAGATTACCAACTGGGAGGGAGAGAGGGACAGGAGACAGCACCCTTCTGAAGCCTTTAACGTTCCCAACTGATGTTGACAGACTCAGAATCTGTAGATTTAAATATCCTGCCAATGAACTCATTTGACCTTATAATGCATTAGAACTGACCCTGAATCTGTATGACACTTTCTGGGTTGGGCTGGTTCGTGTTGTGTATATATAGGTGCGTGAAAATATCAAGGCACGGCCAATAATGTTACAAATCATGGGGACTTGGATCTTCAATATTTTCCAACACAGGTTTAAAAGGGTGGCAAATCCATCAATGACTTAAATGGGCTGAGTTGATTGATGACATTTGATGGGGCAAACAGTAGCTCTCTGGCTGGCTGTCACTCAGTGGTGGTGGGTGCCGCTATGGTGTTGTGAGTGACATCACAGTCCTGAACAGTTCTATAGTTTGGTCTCTAGGTGATCTCCTTGAAGGCCCTCTTCTCAACATACTTCAACTTGTGTCTCCTCTTGAACCTGCGGGAGGAGGCAGAACACACAATCAAACACTATCCATGTAAAGCACTTCAATGGCTTATCAAATCAAGACTATATTCTCTTGTATAAGAAAAACAAACGGAAATAGGATATGTGGAGGGGAATCAGCACAGCATGTTGCCCTCAGTTCCAGGACGCTGTTTACACAACAGCACCCTGAGTTCCATGATTGTCTTCACATTTCAGAGGAAATACTGTGAGCGCAAGGATGGGATCATCACTGGACACAGTCATGCTCAAGCTGACTGAACCAACTTAGGGGTATACTACAACGCAGGATCAATGAGATAGCCAGCTAACTTTAACAACCAAAAATAACTATTGATTTTCTGGTTCATTAAGAATGACAAACACCATATTTGGCAATCAGACCATTCCCATTTCAAGCTCATTTTTCGAAAAAGTAATTTCACAATATTTAGGCAAGTTAATTGGCTAACGCATTGATCCTGCTTTGTAGTATCCCTCTCTGGAAATAGCCAACAATACAAACAAATCTAGAACGTTCTACTATGAAAGTTATGGGTTATGGACATACACACACCACTATATATATACGACATCACTGTCCAATATCCATTATAGGCAAATATATTTCTGACATGTTGTTTGTTTAAAAGAAAGGGAGAAAAACTTACTTGGCTCGTTCTCTGGGCTCAATCATGTTCCTCTTCTGCATACTCTTGAAGCGGTCCTTGAGGACACTGCCCTCTGGCTGCAGAACACATAATTACATGTGAAGGGAAACATGTTAGTACATGTCAGTAAACCCACATAAATAAAGAGAGCTCTGATGAAGGACCTGGCTCCGAAACGGGTCAGCATGAGACATTATTGAAGGGAATTAAGTTGCTATCCTGAAACTGTTTTCAGCATTTCAGTTCCACATATATGTACATGGGTTCAAAGGTCAGCCCAGTATGAATGCATTGTAGAATGTGAGAGGGATACAGTCAATCACAAACCTTGAGTGTCCGCAGGGATCCAGGAATCTCATCACTTAGCTGGACCTCTAGATCCTGAGCCTGGAACCTGTGGAGATATGTGGGGGACAAGTTCAGATAGAGTATGGAGATCACAGACAGGACAACGGCACAGACGCAACTCACACTAAGGGGAAAGCAGCATTATAGAAATCAGGATAAATTATTTGGTTTGGGTGGGGTATAGGTTATTTTGGAGCCCATTGTTACAGAAATGTATAGGGCTACTTCCAGTTCATACTAGGATGCATTTAACTTCATCTGCTTTTCAAAATGGGGGAACTTTTGCATACTGACTTGAGTCTGCCGAGGCGTCGGGGCATGGACTTCTCTGCCTCCTGGTTGGCCTTGCGCTGGGCCACCCTCTCTCTGGTCCGCTGCTCCCGCCTCTTCAGGGTCGCCTGGATGGAACGCAGCTGGAAGAGCTGCTGCTTCTTGTCAGTGAACGCCCTCGCCGCCTGCTTCTGTTGCAACTGCACAGCGAGAGAGACACTGCCGGTCAGTTCCTAAGCTAGCACATGGAGGGGAAGGCTTGGGCACATTAGGGCGAAAGGCTTTGTAGTCCTGCGTACCTTTATCTTGTCGGCTCGCTCCCTCTTCCTTTCTTTCTCCGTCTTCTTCTCCTGCTGCAAGCCACCACGAATAGAAACATCTTCCTCATCATCTTCTTCTTCGTCTTCCTCCTCTTCCACTAGCCCTTCCACTTGTTCCTGGAAGACTGTCTCCTGCAGAGAAACAACAGCGAGGAAGATCAGGCAAAATGGAGCCGGACGTGAAATGTTGAACAGTTGGGGGTGGGGGTGGCTGTTGTCGTACCTCAGTGGCAGTATCCTCTCGGTTGACAGCCAGCTGTCTCTCTATTCTCAGCTCCGCTTTCTCCCGCTTCACCTCCACCTCATGGGCCTCCAGTAACAAGGCCTGAGAGAAAAAAAGGTCAGCACATCAACCACAGCATTACTCAACATGAAAAGACAGAACACAACACACACATCATGGGAGCAGAAACATTGATGAATGAACCAGGATTGAAGGTTTGGGTTTTAATCATTGTTAAGTGTAGTAAGTTACCTGATGGGAGAAGAAGTCTGGGTTGTAGGAGCCTCCGGGGGCTATGACCTCCACTGCCGGGAGAATAGAGGGCTTTGAGTTGAGCTTCTCTGGTCGCTATGAGTGAACAAGACAGTGTTTAAAACCTCATGGTCAAACAGAGTAAATATACAAACACTCTTTACTATACAGCACATATAATACTGAGAAATGATCAACTTTAAGGTAGTGACAATGCAGCATTCTTCTCACCCTCACACGCTTTTTCCCTGTTTGCTCAAGGTAGTAAGGATCTGCTGTCTCTTTGGCTGCAATATGAAGAAAAGATGATCACAAACACTGACTGAAAAGAACTCGAACATTTTTTGAATTAGTTTATCATTTTGAATAGTCAAACTTACCCTCTCCTCCCCACAGGTCATAATAGGGTCTGTCTGGGAAGTTGTTGGCCGCCGTCTTTGCTTTTGACATTGTAGTTGCCGGTCTGCTGTTCAAAAGGCGCTTCTGTCTCCGTGGTAACACACCCATGGCCGCCAATTTCTCGGCATTCTCTGCAATGCGGCGGAGTTTCTTTGCGTTTGGTTGCTGGTGGGCCAAAACACTGGGGGAGAGAGGAGGGAACTTAATTTTAAGTAGTGTCCTAAAGAAACGGAAGACTTCAACGGTGTGTACAATCACTGCTTATTATGAGGAATAAGCTAACCAAAGTACACTTGTGTACTTATCAAAATATAGCCTTGCTGCATGGCTTCAGTTTACAAAGTGGGGGCACATCTGGGTCGTATTAGTTAGTGCACACAGTAGCAAAACCTTTCGCAACAGAAAAAAATAAATAAGTTCAGGTAGTCCCTCCCTGTTTGTTCCAGTTGCATTACTAGTACATACAACCCTGGAGAGGGGAAGCGGCACAGCATATTGCCCTCAGTTCCCAGAAGACTGTTCACACAACAGTGCCCTGAGTTCCATGATTGTCTTCACATTCCCGAGGAAATACTGTGAGCGCAAGGATGGGTTCATCACTGGACATTGTGCCATGCGCAACCTGACTGAACCATCTTCAGCTAAGGGCCAGGATGACGAGGGTGAGAGTGCAAAGGTCAGAGTACATCAGACAAACTCACTCTTTAGGCGGAGGGATGAGGGAGTCATGCTGCAGGATCAGGTCTATCCTCAGGGGCCGTGACCTTGACTTCTTCCCCTTCTTTCCCTCTTGGACTTCTGGCATCAGACACAGAAAACATCAGTGATTTGACACTCCAAACATTAACAAAGCAGAAAATGTATTTCATGTAAACAGTGGTATCGCTTACCTGGCTGGACACATTTTCTCTGCTCTCCGATGTCCACAAAGAACAGGCTATCATCTGGCTTCTCAGATATCAGTCCTCTGTCGAATAAAAAAAGGTTTAGACATGTAAACTAAATAACTACATATTTTGAAGCAAATAGAATTAGGGCATGCAGCATGTGTTAAACTGTAAATAAAAGCATTAACGTTAGCTAGTTAACCAAGTAGCTAGCTAAGTACATTTAAGTCATTTAGCAGACGCTCTTATCCAGAGCGACTTTACAGTTAGTGAGTGTATACATTTTTATTATTTTTTCCCCCATACTGGCCCCCCGTCGGAATCGAACCCACAACCCTGGCGTTGCAAGCGCCATGCTCTACAAACTGAGCTACACGGGGCTGAGTTACATAAAAGCAGCCAAATCATAAGAAAGTAGTAAACCGGTCAAGAAACAATTCAGTTTAGGTGTATTGCTCATGTTTGGATAATTATGAGGGTGATTATAGCTAGGAAATTGTATTTAAAACAATAAATAAAAACATAGCTAGCTAGAACAAACAACCCAACGTGTACATTAGCATTGCGAGCTAGCAAAGTGCCATTTCTTCGAAGTTTACATGTGGACTTGGATTGATTGACATGCAAAACTAGCTAGCTAGAATAATAATGTCGCAATAACTGCTAAATAATCGCTTATTAGTACAGTAAGGAATACACCTAGCTAGATAACTACTGTAGATAGCTTTAATGCAAGCAGGTATTGGCTAACACATGCTGCTCACCCTGTAGCTCTTTCCTGAAGTCTCACGTCATCCAAAAACTCTTCAACATCTTGAATATCACTGTGTTTGTTCCAACTCTTTTTCTTATTCTTATTCACACGCTTTCTCCGGCCACTATTCAAGTCATCTGAGTCGGCCGACGATTTAAAAGATATGAATCCTGGCTGCGACGCTGCCACGCGTTTCAGTCTCTTGACCGCCGCCATGCTGGATCATCGGTGGATGATGCGGATGACGTATGTTCTTCCTTAACTGAGGTTTAGCACGAGCTGATGGGGGCTTGCGTAAAAACCATCCCTGGAAATAAGATATTTGTAGGCCCCAAATGTATAAATTGATGATAAGATAATTTATTGCTAGGTCTTTTAATACTTTTGTGATTTTAAACTTGTATACAATACAATTTATACTAAAGCAATGTTTGTCACAATACACAAACCTTCAAAGAAATGTCATCTGAGAATCTAAATTGTTTGATTTTTACATGAACAACTATTGGTAACAGAAATCCAGTAATAGCTAATTTTGCAATCATAGCCATTTTGTCTCGTACACTCACGTTGAATAATCTGAGTTCCATAAAACACCTTCAATAATTGTCATACATTTCTAAATGGTCAATATCTGCCAATGCAATAAACAGACATTTCACTAACATCTCCCATTATGGAGTATATCACGCTTTTAAGATGATTGATAATTGATTGAATTGGTCAATTGATAAACGTGTATAAAAATTGGTCTCTCTTGTCGCAGCAGATGCATTGTGGGTAACCTGCCATTTTAACCCAATATAGGACTCCATTCTGTTGTGTGAACAACGCAATAAATAAGGACACGAGACCAGTTTCAAATTTGTAACGTTGGCTGTTGTATCAAAGGTAAGTGTCGCGTTTGAAAGAATAGTTTAAAAAAATATTGTGTATGTGTGAATTTTCACTTTTTTGTTATTTAGACAGTATCTTTAGCAACTAAATCCGCAGTCATAGGGAAAACCCAACCCAGACGACCGAAAAAGCGAGCTATTATCTGCTTGTAGTAACTAGAAACCAAAGCACTCCTTTCGAATTTGACACGGTTATACACAGGTTCTGAGTAATCTTCTGAGTACGGAAGTTTTTCAATAGATTCCTAATGGTGTCTAGAACAATCTTCAATGTGTTTATTAGTTTAAAGCGGCAATGTATTCGTTTTAAATGTCGTTTTAATTGTCAACCTCTTGTTAAACACATTCGAATTTTCCTTCCCGTTAATACGTTCCGGTTACAGCAGCCATCGTCTCCAATGCGTAAGAGGCGGGGACCTACTTGGTGAAAGACGTTGCTCATAGGCGGAAAAGGAAGAAAATCCCGCCCCTCAGATCACTAAACAACTCCCTATTGGTAGTTGTAAGAACTTTACGCTGTAATTCGCTCAAGTTAATGTACATCTTTGAGTAATTGAGCCACAGACTTGAATACAATCACAGAGGGTTGTATACAAATATCTATTTTATAAGGATGTCATTGATTGGTAGATTACTTTCTAAATGTAATCCGTTAGTTTCTAGTTAACTGTCCAATTGTACTCTGTAATGTAATTTTTAGATTAACAAAACTTTCAGTTACATTTTGATTAATTTCCCCTTAAAAAGCATAAAACAAAATATCCAACATATTTGGTGTCATCCTAGTGGTCTGACTCGCTTAGGTGGAACAAACTTAAATGTGCTTTTATTCAATGATTAATTGAATGTCATTGAGAACAGAAAGGTGTCAATGTATTTTTTGCGAACATTCTTTCTAAATGTAAGTAAAACATGTAATATCTAGTTTTTCAAAGTATCTGTAATCTGATTACAATATTTTTGCTGGTAATGTAATTAGTGGTGTTTAGCAGACTAACATTGGTTTTATGCTGGATTTGATAGCTAGTTGGTTACTTCCATTAACATTCCTGTCTCAATTTCCCCTTTATTCAGGTAACTTGTAGGAGCTATGGCCCGTACCAAGCAGACAGCCCGTAAATCTACTGGAGGCAAAGCCCCACGTAAGCAGCTGGCCACCAAAGCTGCCCGCAAGAGCGCCCCTTCTACTGGTGGGGTCAAGAAGCCCCATCGCTACAGGTGATGGTGTGACAAAACACACAGTGCCTGAACATACAGGCTTTGACCCACCTGGTGTTGTGGTCTCTACATTAATCATTTTATGTAGATAAAGGACCACAGTGGTGTTAATTACTGTTTCCCTCCAGGCCTGGTACTGTGGCCCTGCGTGAGATTCGTCGGTACCAGAAGTCCACTGAGCTGCTGATCCGCAAGCTGCCCTTCCAGCGCCTGGTGAGAGAAATCGCTCAGGACTTCAAGACTGACCTGCGTTTCCAGAGTGCAGCCATTGGAGCCCTGCAGGTCAGTGTGTTTATGATTTTCATTAACCCACCAAATAACACTGTAAAGACGGAGACCTATCGGGAATTTGTACACTTAACGGGATACTTTGGAATTTTGGCAGTGAGGCCCTTTTATCTACTTTCGCAGAGTCTGAACTATTGGATGCCATTCATGGCTGTGTCCAGTATGAAGAAAGTTAGTTAGCATTGGTTCACAAACCTAACTAGCTAGTATTAGCACAATGACTGCAAGTCTATGGGTATCTGCTAGCATGCTCATAGATGCCATAGACTTTTAGTCATTGCGCTAATGCTAGTTAGCATTGGCTCGACACTACCTCTAACTTCCTTCATACAGGAGACAGACATAAAAATGGTATCCACAAGTTCATCTGACTCTGGGGAAGTGGATAAAGGGCCTCTGCCAAAATCCTGAGGTATCCCTTTAATGGTGGCCTACTGGCAGTACTCTCCACAAATGTTTGAGGAATGCATTGGTCCATACGAAGTTAGAGCTTACGCATATCATCAACTGAATTGAACTTGTATTTTATTGTCTGCAGGAGGCCAGCGAAGCATACCTTGTTGGTCTGTTTGAGGACACCAACTTGTGCGCCATTCACGCCAAGCGTGTCACCATCATGCCCAAAGACATCCAGCTGGCACGTCGTATCCGTGGGGAGCGTGCTTAGATGCCTCCCTAATTACCTGT